GGCCTCTCAGAGTTGGTAAGACAACTCGCACCTATTTATGCTCTCTGTATGTGTGTATATATATCTCCTCAATATATGTTCCATTCTATATGCATCCGAAGAAGTGGGCTGTAGTCCACGAAAGCTTATGCTCTAATAAATTTGTTAGTCTCTAAGGTGCCATAAGTACTCCTGTTCTTCTTTTTGACATGGACACAGACGTTCCTGAAAGCACGGGATGTGGCAATTGGGATATCATGGCAGGTTGATACAGTGGAATGCCGATTCTGGGCCCGGCAAACAAGCACAGACTGGTGGGACCATAGTGTTGCAGGTGGCTGCAAAACTTTTGCATGCGTAAGGCACTTTCATGGAACTTTTGTGAGTTGCTTTCCCCAGCCCCGAAGTGCAGTCATACCAAGCTGAGACCTGCCCGGACAGTTCAGAAGCGAGTGGCGATAGCCCTGTGGAAGCTTGCAACACCTGACTGCTACTGGTCAGTCGGAAATCAATTCGAAATGGGCAAATCTACCGTGGGGGCTGCTGTGATCCAAGTAGCCAAGGCAATCAATAACCTTCTGCTAACAAGGGTAGTGACTTTGGGAAATGTGCAGGTCATAGTGGATGGCTTTTCTGCAATGGGGTTTCCTAACTGGTGGGGCGATAGATGGAACGCATATCCCTATCTTGGCACCAGACCACCTTGCCAAAGAGTACATAAACTGCAAGGAGTACTTCTCAATGGTGCTGCAAGCACTGGGGAATCACAAGGGACGTTTCACCGACATCAATGTGGGATGGCCGGGAAAGGTGCTTGACGATTGCATCTTCCGGAATTCTGGGCTGTTCGAAAAGCTGCAGAAGGGGCTTTCTTCCCAGACCAGAAAATTACCGTTGAGGATGTTGAAATACCAATAGTTATCCTTGGGGACCCAGCCTACCCCTTGCTCCCATGGCTCATGAAGCCATACACAGGCAGCCTGGACAGTAGTAAGGAGCAGTTCAACTATAGGCTGAGCAAGTGCAGAATGGTGGTAGAATGTGCCTTTGGACATTTAAAAGGGCGTTGGCGCTGTTTGCTGAGTAGGTTAGACCTCAGCGCAACCAATATTCCTATTGTTATTGCTGCTTGCTGTGTGCTCCATAATATCTCAGAGTGAGAGTAAGGGGGAGACATTTATGGTGGAGTGGGACATTGAGGCAAATTGCCAGGCGGCCAATTTTGAACAGCCAGACACCAGGGCCATTAGAAGAACAAGCTAGGTGCACTGCGCATCAGAGAGCCTTTGAAAAACAGTTTCATGACTGGACAGGTGTGTTTGTCCTTGATGCAAAACCGCCCCCTTTGTTGAATGTACTTCCCTGTAAGCCAGTCCCCCTCCCCACTTTGACCACAGCTGGCAAAGGAAATAAAGTCCCTATTGTTTTGAATCCATTTATTCTTTATTTATTAAAAAAAATTGAGATCACTGACAAGGTAGCCCGGGTCGGGTGGGGGAGAAGGGAAGGACAAGGCCACATTGCTTATTGTAGTCACACTACAAATCAAAGCAGTTTGAATGACAGCTTTCTGTTGCTTGGGCCATGCCCGGGAGTTGAGTGGCTGGGTGCCCAGAGCCTCTCTCCCACCGCGTTCTTGGGCGTCTGGGTGAGGAGGATATGGAACTTGGCGAGGAGGGCAGGCAGTTACACAATGGATGCAGTGGGGGTCTGTGCTCTAGTTGCCTTTCCTGCAGCTCCATCAGATGCCTGATCATGTCTGTTTGCTCCCCCATTAGCCTCAGCATCTCCTCCTGCGTGTTCCGATCACGCTCACTGTATGCTTTCCTAGCCTCTGCCACTGAATGCCTTCATGCATTAAGCTGTGCCCTATCAGTGCAGGAGGACTGCATGAGCTCTGAAAACATGTCATCGCGAGTGCATTTTTTTTGCCTTCTAATCTGCGATAACCTCTGGGATGGAGTTGATACGGGGAGCATAGAAACATTTGCACCTGCGGGGGGGATAAAAAGGAAGAGTACAGTTTAAGAAGATACACTTCTGAGAACAAAAGGGAGACTCTTTCACAGTGAATCAAGCAATTCACAGCAGACAGCACGTGTTTTAGGCACAAGGTTTCATTTTGCCTTTTATATTGAGTGCCTACCGGTATGGTGACACATCACACACGGCTGGGCAACAGAATTTGGTTTCCCGGCAGTCATGGTAAGCCAAAGGGTACGTGGGGTTGGCTTCAAAACATGTGGGAATGGTTTCAAACTGCAGCGCCCTCCTTTCCCATAGCAAGCAATGCCGGTTGGGTTTGCCGTTTAAAAGGAGGGGCTGCAGTTTTGGGGTGGATGTGCAGCACACCCCTTCCCCTACCGCATGGCTATTCTCCAGGATGATCCCTTTTAGCCAAGCACAAACAGCCCAGAATGAATGGGCTCCTTTTACTGTTCCCTTACAAAAATTCCCCTATTTCAACCAGGGGACCATGAATATCACTCTCCTGAGGCTGACACAGAAAGATAAAGACCGAATGTTGCATGAATGCGACCAAAACCCAGGACCATTCGCTGCCATGCTTTGTGCTGCAGATTCCAGACTACTTGCTACTGGCTTGGCATGGTAAAGTGTCCTACTATGCTGGGCAAATTAAGGGAGCCCTTCCCAGAAACCTTCTGCAAAGGCTTTCAGAGTACCTCCAGGAGAGCTTCATGGAGATGTCCCTGGCGGATTCCCGCTCCATCCCCAGACACGTTAACAGACTTTTTTCCAGTAGCTGTACTGGCCGCAAATGCATCCCAATTCTTCGGGGCAAATCAAACATTAAACACAATTGCTTTTAACCCTGTAGTGTAGCTACAAATGTGCACTCACCAGAGGTGCCTTCTCTGCCTTCAGGGTTCAGGAACAATTCACCCTGGGAGGTTAGTGGCTCCAGGGTGATGAAAAGGTCCTGGCTGCCGGGGAGAACAGATTCTCCACTTGCTTGCTGTGCATTCTCCTCCTCTTCCTCATCCACAAAATCCTCCTCCGTGTTGCGTGAGACTCCCCCCTTGAAGGTGTCCATGGACAGTAGTGGGGTAGTGGTAGGGTCCGTCCCCCATGGAATCACATGCAGCTGATCATAGAAGCAGCATGTATGGGGCTCTGTCCAAGAGTGACCGTTTGCCTCCTTTGTCTTTTGGTAGGCTTGCCTGAGCTCCTTAACTTTCACGTGGCACTGCTGTGTGTCCCTGGTGTAGCCTCTCTCCTATGTCCTGTGCGATTCTGGCATATATATCAGCATTTCTTCTGCTGGTTCAGAGTTCTCCCTGCACAGATTCTTCTCTCCATACAGCAGTCAGATCCAGTGTCTCTCGTTTGCGATTCTGGGACTGCATGGTCACCTGTTCTGCTGAGCTCGCCACGTTGACCAAGCAGGAAATGAAATTCAAAAGTTCCCAGGGCTTTTCCTGTGTACCTGGCTAGTGCATCAGAGTTGAAAGTGCTGTTCAGGGTGGTCACATTGAAGCACTCTGGGATAGCTCCCAGAGGCCAATACCATCGAATTGCACAATGCTGCATCTGCACTACCCCAAATTTGACCCAGGAAGGTC